AGTTCACGGTCAGTCTCCCTGTTCATACGTTGACCAATTAAAAATGCTGATAGCAATGCATCACTTACTCCCGGTGATTCTCGTCCATGCTTGAAGAGAACTTCTCTCAATACTCCTTGGACTTCCTCATATCCAAGATGGCCTCCGGCTAATACTTCCCTGAGAGCACCAACCAATCTCATTTCACTTGTGCTATTTCCAACATATTGTGGTCCAATTGAATTTCCAACCCCCATTATTGATCCTTCAGGGTCAGCTATGAATATTATATCAGATGGAAGCACTCGAACCAGAAGCGGCCAGAACGTCTTCATTGCCCGCGTTTCCCCTTCACTCCACTGGGTTTCTTCAGGAAAGGCATTTGCACGGATCGTCATTCCAGCAAAAAATGCCCCAAGTTGTGCTTTAGAAACTTCATCTTCATCTTTGAGCTCTCCCCTAGCTGAGATTAAACCACGCACACAAACCAAGCTCCTTTATTATTAGAGAATAATCCATGACTTGATAGCCTAGAATAATGGGAACAAAGGATATATATACTAAATAGATAGACAGAAGGAATACCTGATCTTAAAATTGTATCTAGAACCTTAAAAGCCTGATCCTCTCCAAGCGGCCTAGTCTGTGTAGGCCCAGTACAAACCCTAGCTTGAGCTTCCAACACTGTTTGATTCGGTTTCGGCAATGCTGAGCTGCGATACGAAGAAGACAAAGAAGGATTCCGAATATCAAACTCCGTAATCCCTAATTGTTCGATGATGGCCGAATCTAATGTAGCTTTGGCAGTAAAATGAAGCTTTCGTCCAATCCAGCCATCACGATCTTTGATACGGAGTTTTGGAAATGGCTGAACCCAGCCACGAGTGAAGTTTCGAGTTTTGTTGGAGAAAATCAAATGAGAATGGGAGAAAGAAGGTGCGGAATGAAGCAGCACTTTCATGGTGAGAACTCGATCTTCTAACTTCTCTGCTTTGCGTCCCTGGATATGAAGCGAAGAAGAAGAGGCGAGACTGATTCGAAGCTGGCTTAGCACGCTGACTTCGAATCCATCGGACGATTCTAATTCTCAACCAATTAATTACGCTGACAACAAAGTTTTCTTTTTTCTTCTTTGTCAACACAGTGACAACCCTTTTTGGCCAGGTCAACCAAGGGACGCACAAATAACAGTAGTTTTTTTGGCCAACTGATAATATTAATCAGGAAAAATCGCAACAAAAAAAAATGCTTAAAGGTTAAAAAAATTATATATAAAGGCCCATTCACAAAAATTATTATTATTTGCTTATCAATTATTGTCAGAACCAATACTAATATTATAAATTAATTTTTGTTTGCAATTTTTTTAATCTTTGAGGTCTTTTTTTTTTATACTATTTTTCCTGTTAATTACATTAATAAAGCAATTAAAAACCACATGCGGATTTTAACAAATAAATATTTCTCAGGTCTTATATCCTCTATTTTTTCTTTTTACCAGAAACAATTTTTAAAATACCTTGTTTTTATTTATAAAAAACATTAAGATGTGGTATTCATTTTTTTAAATTTTTTATTTTGCTCTAATTTAATTACTCATATATTAATATCATTTCATTTAATATCTAGTACTCCCTTCGATTTAAAATATAAGATAAAATTTAACGGAGGAGTTTTATTTTTTTTATAAAATAATATCCACTTTTGTCTAAACATTTAATGATGTTTTTTTTAAATTTTACTCATAACATATATTCTTTTTCCTTTTTAAGTCATTTATTACACTTTTTGCTTATTCTCTTCATTCATAAGGATATCTTTGGGAAAGAAAATATATGTCTTCCATATTTATTATTTTAAACTGATTTTTACTAATTTCTTAATAAACATAAATAGATAAAGTTTATCTTAAATTTTGTATCGAAAGGAGTAATTTGCTTATTTTCTCTTACACTCTCTCTTCTTAAAGGGTGTTTTTAATTAAAAAAAATTAAATTTTTTTAACATTGATTTAAGCAATGTTTTATTAATATGATTTGGTTAATGTCTATAACATTAGAAAGATATAGAGGATAACACTGCAAATTTACACTTATATTGATAGTTTGCTAAAGAGGAGGTAATTATATTTGAAACACTATTGGCTCATAAATATGGATAATTCTTTTAATATAGATCCGAATTTTAATTTATTATTTTGTGAGAGGCAAGATTTAAGACCATTCGTGACTTGGGAGGATTAAACATGAAAGCAGTCATAAAGAGGGGACGGCTTGTCCCCTTTGTTCTGGTCCAACGGGTCCAACCAAGCACGAAGGGTCTTGTAGTATACAGTCACGTTGCAACATGCAAGACGTCAGGTGGTGCGTATCTTCAACATCTCAGTTCGAGTAGATCATACTTCTGACCTCAGTCTCAACAGAAGATTTGGCCCACTATCTGGCATTATCAATTGAGAAGCTTCTTGAATGGCGTTATCTAATTGGTGGGAACAATGTTATTAATGCGTCTAATAGGTTTTTCCCCTTTTATAAAAGGATCAATTTTATAAAATGAAGAAGATCAAGTGGAAGTCGCAAAAACCAGGAAAAGGAGAGTTAACACAACATGAATTTTATTAAAAAAAAAAAAAAAGTGGTTAGAAAATGCTTGAAGCAGTGAGTGAACATCATTTTGTAAGGTGCCACTAAAATTACAAGAAGATCATTGAGCAATGCATGAGTATGCCTTCGAATCTTAACCTTTCACATGTAAATTGTCCAATCCTATGCAAATTTGAGAATGTTGCATATGTCACAACCAGGTAGAAAAGAGGTAGGACTAGGAGCTTTACAATTGCTTGGAAGATCTTTCCCTTTGCATATGTCTATCAGGTATTAAAAATATCTTCAAAAATGTTGAATTACTTGTTCAGGGTTGTTTAGACAGCATCTACGAAAAGCCAATATACATAATTTCTATAAAAGAAACAAGCCTAAAATGGGATTTTAAAATTCAAGCAAAAAGATAAATATATCTCCACTTGCAAGAAAAAAGGTCAACAATCCCCTCGTCGGAGACCGGCCACCTTCGGCGCCATGGCCCCTACCGGTTGGAGGGATATTCCAATCAGCAAAAGGAGGGATATGCCAATAGCCATCCACGGCCGAGATGAGTGCTTCTTGGAAAGTACTACTTCCGGTCCTAATTATAAGAGCTAGTTGACTAATTTGAGGAGATTAAGGAATTAAGTTGAGTTAGTTATTTGTCCTAAATAGGTGTTGTCTTTCTTAAAATATCATTGCTAATCAAGTTTATTGATTAGAACTATCATTGTTAGAAGGGCTACTTTGAAAAAAAAAGTATAAATATGAGAGACAAAGTAGATTGAGGTCTTATATTTAGGACCAAAATAAAAGTCAAATAGGGTTTTATATTAAGGACCGGAGGTAGTAGTTAATATATAATGAATTGCAATCAAAACCTATATGAAGTTATGAATGACTATTCTAAATAGAAATTGTTAATAACTGATGAAGTTTAGTCAAAATTAGTTCAAAAGTTGTAAACAACATTGCTAAATGAAAATAGTTAATACCTAGTGAAGTGTAGTAAAAACCAAAACAAAAGTTGTGAATAACATGAAAGAATAATATTGTTTCAATTCCTAAACTTAAGACGATAATAGCAACTTTTGAATTCATTTTACTCATTTTAGAATAGAAATTCACAAGTTGGGATTTTAATATAAAAACTTGAGAAAATGAGAAAAGAATCATGCTTTTAAAAAATGCTCAGTTTATAAACTCAGTCATAATAAGTTTTCCATTCATTTTACTAATTTCAGAATAAAAATTATAAATGGGGCATCTATGTTTTTTTGCTTGACTTTTAAAATGATATTTTTGAATTTTGCACTTTTCTGAAATTATTCTAATTCAGGTATCTTTTGAGGAATTTTATATTTTCCCGGTTTTTTTTATTGTCATTTTCCCGTTAATTATTCCTTCCTATCTCTTTTTCTTGCTTTTTTTGGCCAAAATTCCCTCCTATCTCATTTACAGGGCATCTTTCAGGAGATGCTTTTGGTCATAAAAGTTATATATATAAAAAAATAAGAATTTACTAATAGCGATTAATATAATAGACAAGAAATGCATATATGTGTATTTAATATAAAATGCAACACCATTTAGACATTAAAAAATTAAAGAAAAAATATTAAAAAATTTCTGATTGTTAACTTTATTGCTTAGACATGCATTGAGGAGCTATGAGTGCAACCTATTTGTAGAGGGTAAAATTTTTTTTTTTTTTCAGCTGGCGCAATCTAACTTCAGCTGTATATAAAATGAAATGCATTTGTACATGGTTAAAAATATGTAATAGATATTTAAAAGGAGTTGTATCTTCTAAAGATAAGTTGCACTCACTTAAGAACTTGAGTTGCAATGAGTGATTTTTCAGGATTTTTTCCAAATATATTAATACATCACACTATAATATTTATTTTATGCTTTGAAAATATGGATATAATAATAGCAAAACATTAATTATAAAATATGAAAAAGTTTTATAAAGAGTTGAAAGGAAGAGGCTTACATCATGTTTTGATACTGGCGTGCCATCATGCTTAGTTATTTTTCATTTACTTAATGTAAGGTGAGGGTCTATAAGTCATTCACTTCATATGTATTTATGCATAAGAAGGTTAAATCCTCACCTATAAGAGTTGGATTAATTGGTTAGATAGAGGCTTGATATGATCTTATAAAGAATTCATTTTTTTATGGTTAATGTTTTTTCATGATGAAACAAAATTATCAAATATTATAATTTATTCGTGCTAAATTCATGTTTCCTGTCAAAAGATATTTATTGACCTATGATTCATTATATAAAGATGCGATGTAAAGAAAAATTAATTCCAAGACAAATAAAGGGTTCGCACGGTTCGGGTTAGCGGAGCCGGGCTGGCGGAGAAGTTCGTATATAAAGGGCAGAGCCGTTCATATTTTTTCGCACCTAAATTCAAAGTTCGGAAAGGCGAGCCAAGAAGAAATGGCTGGTTCGCTCGCTATGATCCCAAGCAATGTCAGTGAGAACCCGTTGAACACTGTGAGAGATGAGTGGCAGATCAACTTTGCTCGCTTCTTCGCCTATCCCTTAGCTGCCACCACTTGCTCCGATCTTCTTCCTCTGCCTCCTTCCCGCAGGAATCGTAGTCCCAGGGGCAACTGGATCGCGTCCCCTTCAATTGCTTTTCTCCGGCTCGTAAACGATTATTCGAACTCCGATGTGATCATTTGCATCTGCTTCAACGGCGAAGTTCTTGTGAGTCCTTAAGTCATAGGCAGTGTTAGACGCTTCTCATGTTGCTTACTCTGATTTGTGAGTGTTGACAACTGTCTGCTTTCTGGTTCTCGAACGATTCTCTTTCTCATTGTTAAGGACTGCATGGATTAAACTTCAAAACACATCAGTGTCATTTTAATGGTAGCGGATTTTGGTAGTGCGTTCATGGCAGAGAATTTTGAAATATTTCAAGTCTGCGGTTGTGTAGGTTTAAGGACTGTGATATTAATGAGTAAGATTGCTTGCAAGAGCTCATCCGATTGTGTTGTAATACAATTAACTGCATATAAAAAACGATATGACTAGAGCTTTAGAAATATATATACCTAGCCGGTAAGTGACACGACACCTCCCTATAAAACATGCATTGATCAAATAGACCTGTAAAATACGTAGCGCTTTAATACAATTTGAAGAATAGTGTAATGTTTAATATGTTTTCCGCGTTCAAGTATTGATACTTCGTAAGACTGAGATTGAGATGATTTCCTTGTCAATAGAAATTTTCTTCGATTTTTATTCCTCAACTTATCTCATCTTGTGGAGGAATTTTTTTTTTGGGCAGAGGAAGAAGGGACGTCAGCCCCAATGGAGGATTTGTGTAAAATTCAAGTAGTTAATCTTAATGCCTAAATCCGGTTTTAGTTTTCAATTATCGCTCAAAATGTGCCTGATAAGAGATATTTCTTTTTAGCCTGTCTGAAGAAGAATATATTTATATTAAATACACTTTGTTCTGTGTTAGCGGGCGCGCTTTTATGCAGCATGCTTTTAATTATGCACGCCGCAGCAACGCATATAAATAGAGCTGCTCCTATTTACAACATAATGTGGCTTGGTCTTAATGAGCCACTGCCAGTTGATTTTTCCCTTCTAATCACCTCATTCAATAATGAATTATTTAATGTTTGACAGGAGGAACACTACGTTTCCAAGCTGCATTTTTCCTGGCCCCAGGTATCATGCGCATCTGGATTTCCTGCTAGGGGCATCAAAACTGTGCTAGTTAGCTATAGAGACTCCGTGGGCGAGGCAAGATTGAGCATTTTACTTATATAATATTCCTCCCTTTGTTCACTTTACAAAGCACAGCTTTAAGTAATCTATGCGGGGTCCCTCCCATTCAAACACTATAAATGAGAGAGAGATAACGACGGAGTTGTCTTTCTTGTCATGCTTTTTAGCTACACGAATATTGTTTACATTCTCAATGAAATGCGTAACATTGAATAAAATGATAAATAAATTCAAATTTTAACTGCCTACACAGAGGCATATGCAAATACTAAATACGAACATGCTGCAAGTTGCTGATAATTTGTGCATTTATCTGAGTTGCAAGGTTATAACTGGACTGCTTTCCCTGAAATACCAAAAAATCTGGCTATGTAAATAACTCGCCCGAAATCTTAGTTATGACACGCCTTACTTTGCAGCAATATAAAAGGCTCTTCACACATATTTATTTTTCACTTTTTGGCAGATCCAGAAGTTTGGTATGCGGTTTCCATCATTCTATGAAGCACAGGCATTTATAAATACTTTGAAGGTGAACACCTATTGGCAATCATAACATATGCTTGACCAATGCATGAAACGAGGGACATGCCTTGTAATGCCATATTTCCTTTCCTGAGCTTTGTTTGTTTGTGTACTTATTTATTTTAGGGAATCTTGAAGGATAAGAAGGGACCTGAAACTCCAAACACTGACTTTGGATCTGAAATTTCGTCACAATCAGAGTTTATGTCATCAAACAAGCACTCCCACAGGTAAGAAGTTGAATGATTGCTGTATAAAATGGGAATACTATGGAAGTTTGAGTAATTACGTCTCCATACACTGTCAACATTTTTAATGCATTAATTTTCAGATCTCTCCTTTGTCCGCTTTGATGAAAATCCCTAGTTTTTTCCTCTTCTCCCCCCCCCCCTTTCCTCTTCTTTCCAGAAATTATGTTAGTCGTGAGCTTTGTAAAGTATCTGTTGAGAATATACACTGATGCCTCCTTTATATGTAGAGCTGGTGAGGAACTTAGCACAATAACACCTTTTGACACTTACATTCCAACAATGCCCCCAAGCTTCAACGATGAAGAAAAGAGATATTCAGGTACCCAAGAAAAGGAAACCACTGCTGGTAACAGTTTTGAAGGCATATACCCAGCCTTCCCTCCCAGTTTCACCTCATTACTAATGGATTGCTCTCAGATCAACACGGGTACGCTATTTCTTCGGTAAAATCAATACTGTTTTTGATTTTCCACCACAATTAATTTTATTTGATTAAAACTATGTGTTGCAGCTCAACAAACTGTTTCCAAGGAGATTGATCTCAAGTCCCAAATTGTGGTAGACGTCTTGATTTTTCACCCTGAAAGTTCTGATACTCGCAAAACTTATTATTATAGTTTTGTTGATTCAGCGCTAGTTAGCATAGGTTTTCTCTGAGAAGAGAATGCTTTGGAACTACGCATTCTCCACTTATATTTGTTCTGCCACAGAGTGGTACTCCATTAGTTTATTTACTTCTTTCTTCTTTTCTTGCAGAAGTACATGGAAGACTCTTCCTTCCAAGGTATAAAAGTATTGCGTATTTCTTATCTCGCTTACATTGTACAGTCTGTCAACTTCATTTGGTTCATCCTCTCACTTTTTCCAGCACATCAGGGGGTTTACTGAAGTGAAAAAGTACTTTCATGTTCCTTTTTCTTAGGAATATTTTGATGTTACCCATACTAATCTTATTCTCCAGCCTTAACCACTATGCTCTTTATGCAAATTTAAGGCCTCAACTACCGCGTGCTTGATGCCATATTTGTTAACAAAATCTCTCGTTAGCATTATGTGTTCTGTTGTTTTCTTAAAAAGTTTCTGATGCACGGTTTTTTGTCATTAGATATTTTGTCCAAGGTGGAGAAAGTTATAAGCGAGATAGGAGGTGACATGTCGCTGTAGGTATCCGTGGCTTTCGGAATGAATCTAGTCGAAGCAGTCTAGCATCTCTAGCTGGTAACTGAAGCATGGTGGCCTCCGCCTTCTATTCAATGGGAATGGGAGCTTCTAACCGTTCACAGGGGAAAAAAGAAGAAGAAGAAGAAGAAGAATGAGCTTATACTCTAACCTCTCCTCTGTTTTAATTCCTCTTAACAGCAACCAACACAAAACCAAGTTTGCTTGACTTGCTGATCCGAGTTTTCATGGCATCTTAGCCTCTAATACAGTGTGATTCAGCTAATAGCAAGTTTAGTTAAAAAGCACAAAAACTATAGAAGGGCAATGTTGTTTTGATTTTCTTTCTTGGCTGCCAGCTGTAAATGTTGATCCCTCTTTGAAATAACAATATTATTTTCTTGGTTTTCTTCTCGGTGAAGCTCCAAAAAAAAAAAAAAAAAGAAATTATAGATAGCCGATGCCCTAATTATAGTCAGAATTTTAGCTTGACAATTTTATTGGTTGTATCGCATAAACTCTTGGTCATAGTATACTATACTTTATTAATGACACTAAATAACATAGTTATAATCATGATTTGATTTGCTTCATAATCATAAGTCGGATGAAGTCATTCCGTTGGATATTGCAATCAAGGTTATAATTATAAATAATATCAATTTAAATATAATTACTTTGTGCATCTTTTTGTTAATTTCATTTTTAATAATTATATGACATGTACATATGCTTTTTACTCGTTAGGATGTAATTTTTATAATTTAATGTTATATGGAAGAGTCTTTTGACCATGTTGTATGAATGCTGTAATTTAATTTTTTTTTTATTCAAAAGGAAATTTTATTAAAGATAAAAAATACAGATAAAAGGCTGGTCCAATAAAAAAAGATTGTTTAAGTAAAATCCAAACAATCAGCAAACAGAGGCCAGTCTAATATAAAGTAAACGATAACAAAATAGAAAAGAAAAAAAAGTAGTCCAAATGAAGCTCAACGAACCAAATAGAAGTCTACTCATGCAAGCCAAAATCAAAGTCAGTCCGAACCAAAGTTAGCCATGCAAAATAGAGTCCAAACCAAACTTCCATCATATGCCAGCATACGAGCTGCCCTGCAGAACCTGATAGGAAATTCAATCAATCAAGGACCTTCTGAAAGTAAAAGATTATTTGGAACCATCGAGACACGGTATCACAAGGCTGTGGAACAAGCTAAAGCTATATATACTGTAAGGGATATTGAAATCTTGTTGGGTGTTATAATGTGCAAAGCATGTTACTCACAAAGAACCAGTTACCTCCGCAAGACACACCCAAACTGTAATATAATAATATCAACTTTTGCTTGATGTTGACCATCTTTTAATTCAACTAGTTCAGTACCCGTAATGCATGGGGTTATTCAAAACTTAAAAAATTTTCATTGATAAGTGATTAAAAAAAAAGTATAACCAAACAATACAAATAGTAGCAATAGGGCACGTATATACTATTATATTTAAAAGTTTGACCCAAAAATTTAAAGGTTATAAAATATCTTCTTGTAGATAACATTAGAAGTCTTTCCTATAGAATGTCCGTTGTCATCAAGGATCAAAATCTTCTAGCCTTTCCTATGTCTCACGCGTGCTATGGACACATGTAATTGCCCATATATAAAAACTGGACGGGGCAGATATAATTCAATGTTCATCATGCTTTGACTTCGGCTCTTATTTAGAGTCATAGCAAAACATAACATGACTGGATACTGTCTCCTGTATAATGTGAAAGGCAATGTTGAATCCGATGGTGTTATGGTCAAACATGGGATCAGCACATCGAATATATCCAACATGGGTGCCCGTAAGGATCTCTACTCCAATGACATGTTTTTCCAAGTGAGTCACAATGAGATGTGTACCATTACACAGTCCAATCAACTTGTCTATGCACTACAAAAAACAATTTATTTTCAATGATGACTTTCAGCAGCGCTGTCGAAAGTTAGATTTTTAGAAAGTGTCTATAAGGGCTTGCTGTCAAAAGTTTCAACCTTTGTCCCAGCCGAAGGGTCAACTTTCAGTGGCGACTAAATGTGTTGCTGCTGAAAGTTGTCACCTTTTGTGGCCACTTTACTCCATCACTACTAAAAGTTGATATTTTCAGTGGCAATTTTTTTTTAGTTGCCACCAAAAGTATGTTTCAATAGCAACTTTTTGTTGCCATTGAATTTTTTTGGTTTATATATATATTTTTTAAAAAATTATGATACATTTATATTTCTCCAGTCCTAAATATAAGACCTGCAAAGCAGGTCTTATATTTAGGACTGGAGAAATATTATAATTTTGTTACTAATGTAACTAACTTTGATAACTAATGCTTTTTCATGTATTATTACAGTAGACAGAGAGACTTAGGACAAGTTAATGTGGTGTTTGATAGAGAAAGGGAAAGGGAGTGTGCAGTACGTATAAAATAGATATATTATAATTATATGTGTGAGAAATAGAATTAAAAGATAGTTTATATGGAGAATGAAGCAGAAGCATGCATGTTTGTGAGGTGAGGAAAGAGGGAAAAGTAGTGAGGGTGTAAGGTAGAGGTAATATAATTGAAAGAGAGATGGAGTGTGTATGTGTATACTGTGTGAAGGGTACTATAACTGAAAAGCATAATATAGTTAAGTTTATATGGAAGAGATGATTATAATTAAATTAGTATGGGTATATATAAACAACATAATAATCACTTCGACAATGAACATCTATATGAGTGGGCTAAGAAATAATATAATTGAAGAAGATAATATAATTAATTATGTGTGAGAGAGATGGTTAATAAAGTCATGTTATATAGTTAATTAATTACATATTATTACTATTGATTTTTTTTAGTTAAAATGTGACTAACCAAAATTTACTAAAACACATGCACCTGCATATTATATATAACTATATGATGTCAAACGCAGTTAGCAAAATACATTAGTTCGCCTGGTACTTTGTCTGTGTTCACCTAGCTGGTCTTGTGCCTAACTCCCCCATCCCAGTGGCTTTGCTGGCAAGAAGGTGCTTAAGCTGTGACAGCGTTGTTAGTTAGAGAGTTTGGCGAGACTATAGGAATGCGTGTTTGAAACCTCTCTAACGGCATTTTGCATTTATTTACAAAAGCCACGCGCCTTTGGCTAGTTTTAATGAAATATTTATTATATGATGCTTTAATGTTTTATAAGTTAAAAGCAATTGCAATTCATTTAACCCGCCTAGCTTCATCAAATTTTTGCTTTCCCTCTCAAAGTCTAAAACCAGTGACCTTTGATTTTCCCTTTATTTTTCATATATTATGTCCTATTTATTTTAATGAGAATTGAAATAAATATTGGTGATCTTGAATTTTATAAGATATATATATATGTGTGTGTGTGGATAAAAGTTGGCTAGATATTAAAGATAGATGCTGTTTAACATATATTAGAGGAGTATATAGCTTTCTAGAATAGGTGTAGTCAACATGGGGGTGACAAACAATACGATGTCTTTACAAAAAAATGTATAAATGTTATATTCAAAATGAGAAGAGATGTTAGGACAAACTTATTGACTAAGGATTTTTAGGATAGTTATAAAGTGTAGGACTTGCATGGGAAAATTAGAAGATTTTCAATAGATTATGGGACTTCTAATAATGTGGTAGAAAATGATATGAGAAAGAGGAGAACCTTGTAAGGATGGTATGTGATGCATATAGAATTCCCTATATAGAGGATGTGAATAGTGGCTTAATTAAATGAGGACAAGGAGCCTAATATCCATGCTAAAAAGTTCTTTGACTTATTAAAAGATGTAGAAACAGAACTCTACCCTGGTTGTTGTAAGATCTCAAAATTATCTTTTAATGTGAAGCTATTTCAGTTAAAGCACCTAACCATTGGAGTAATAAATCTATGGACGTATTATTGGCCTTACTAAAGGATATTCTCATAAAAGGGAAAAGAATCTTACCTTGCTAGCCAATGAAAGAAAATATAAGAACTAACAAAGGCAAGGGAGGACGGAACCCCACTTGGACTCACCAAGGAGAAGGTAAGTACTTTTCCGTTTCCCAGAGATGTGTGTGATCAAAGCCTTTCGGGCCGAAGAATAATATATTACACCGGATTCTAGTATGGTAGCATCGGTAGATCGAAGTAGAAGTAGCTTGTCCTGACCCGTGAACGGCCTTAGAAAAAGGTCTTTTGCACTTGGGTGATGACATAAGGTTCTTTTTACAAAGCTAAGAAGATAATTCATGATTTAGGCTTAGATTATAACAAAATTGATGCTTTTGGAAATGATTGTATATTATATCAGGGGAACATGAAAATGCAAAATTATGTCCTAAGTGCAAGATGCCCCTATATGGAAGTTTAAAGAAAAAAAGAAAGGGAAAAATGTTCCATAAAAAATCTTGAGGCATCTTCCAGTAACACCTAGACTGCAGAAGCTTTATATGGTAAGGGACATAGCTAAAGAAACAAGGTGGCATAAGGAGAACATATAGGTGATGATGTACTAAGACATCCACTGATTCTCTTGCCTCGAAACACTTTGACCAACAATATCCTAGCTTTTCTACTAATCTAACGAGTGTTCGATTGGGTTGGCTAGTGATGGATATCAACCTTTTAGGAATATGAGTACCAATCATAGCATTTGGCCGGTTGTCTTAGTACCATATAACTTGCCACTTTGGTTTTGTAAGAAGAGCCTATATTTATGATGACACTTCTTATTCCTGGTCCAAAGGGTCCAGCAATGAAATAGATGTTTACTTGCAAGCACTAATTCAGGAGTTAAAACAACTATGGGAAATAGGTGTTCAAACATATGATGCACATTCTAAATCAAATTTCATCATGCATGCAACAATTTTGTAGAAAATAAATGACTTTTTTGCATATGTAAACTTTTAGGATGGTCAACAAAAAGCAAGCTTGTATGTCCATGTTGCCATAAAGACACACATTGCCTTTCATTAAGGAGCAAATTATCTTACATGGGTCACAAGCGCTTTCTTCCACAAAATCATCTATGGTGTAAAAATAATATCTTATTTTTGAGCAAATTTTCTTCTTTTCCACCAACTTCTATAATATATGCTTTGCTTATGTTCTGCTCTCCCATTTTGCTGACACATGGAAAAGCATAGGCGCATAAACACACACATCCAAAACATATACTCTGTCTATGTTCCTTTTTATTTTCGATTTTAGCTAACATCATGCAAGAGAAAGCAAGATTGGGCCTTTTTCATAACTGAGAGTTGAAAAATGGGAACAACGTCAACACACAACAAAGAGGGGTAATGAAGGTACAAAATCCTTGCTTTGATTATGTAATAATAAATCTACTAACTTGGTATATTAACAGCTATAGTAGCTAGCTTCAAGC